GGGGAAGGGGAAAAAAGGAAATGAGCTAATTCCAGGAACCCAAGAGGAAAGCGAATTTTGAGAATGATGAGGGCAACAAATGTATAAGTGTGCTTTACACAATTGATATATGTATTGTGATGAATTGTATGAGCCCCAATAAAATGATTTTTAAAAATCAGTTGGATTCCTCTACAGCAATAATGAGAACTTCAAAAAAGAAATCAAGAAAAGCAATACCATTTGGAATAGCCGCACCCTCCCCAACACACACACACACACACACAAAGATAAAATACTTAGGAATACATCTAGTCGGGGACATAAAAAACATATATTGAGAAAACTACAAAGCACGACTGCAAGAAACAAAAGACCTGCACGAATGGAGGGAGAAAGATGATGCTATCTAGTCCCATAGGAGATTTACAGTCTTGGAAACCCTAGGGTTCTACTCTGTCCTAAACGGTTGCTCTGAATCGGAATTGACTGCAGGGAAGTGAGATTTTTCTGTTACACATCTGGAAAAGCACACTGCTCATGAAGAGGAAGATTTAGCATTGTAAAAATGGCAACACTACCCAAAGCAATCTACAGGAGTGGGTTAGCACACTGATTAAAATATAGGGGAGAAAACAGCCTATTTTGTTATGGAAGAAGGAAAAGAAAGACAGGTAAAAGAGAACCTTGGGTGGTATAAACGAGGAACTGGGCGCTTTCAGAAATGCAGAATAAAGATCAGCTGCATGAGAAGAAAGACACCGTTGCTTTGCCTTAGTAAGAAAATTAGGGCTGCTGGTTTGGGTGAACCCTAGGATACTTGAGTAGACATGGGGAAATTGTAAGTTTGTTTTGCCAGAGAAGGCAGTGAGAAAGAAAGACATGGAGTCACAGTTTATAGCTGCCCAATTGTAATTGAGGATCAAGTCATCCTCTTGTATGGTACCCATTGCCATCCACTACTATTAGTCAACGCTGACTCAGAGTAACCCTATAGGACAGAACAGAACTGCTCCCTGGTGTGTCTGAAGCTATAAATCTTTATGGGGGCAGAAAGCCTCGTCTTCCACGGAGCGGTTGGTGGCTTTGATCCACTGACCTTTGCATTAGCTCCTTAAAACTGACCCTCAATGACATGAAAGGAAGCACTAGACAGTCTTGCTTTTGCTCCCTTAGAAAGGAGGCAGGGGAGCGCCAAGATGTGAGTGCAACATATCGGCATGGTGCAGGGGACCAGTGAAGAGGTCTGAGAGGACGGCCTCAATCACAACTACCTGGACAGCTGCCCCTCCCCCGAGAAGAATTTACTTCAAAGGACAGAACCAAAGCTACAGCTCCGGGAGAGGGACATGTCTGATCAGAGCACACGGGAGCAAATGAAGGGGGAAGAAGAGAGAGTGGAGCACATCCTGGCCCACCAAGCCTTGAGGAAGATATCCCTGCTCAGAGCAGCCAATTCACAGAGAGGACCATATAGCCAGCCCCACTATGAGACACAACATCCCAAGCAGACCCATAGACCTACAGGGGACAACACTGGAGACATAATGTGGGAACTACACTCCATCTGACCCCAAAACACTGAGGCAAAACACTAAGGGTTTGCAACAGAACAGCAAGGGGAACAAAGCAACAAAGTCCCCAGGGAATACTAAAAATAGACTTTGGGGCCAGGGCGGGGCGCCTCCCCATCAGACTCATCAGAAAACCCTCCTAAAGGTCAACAAAGAGACCTTGAACTATTTACAGCCTTTCCCTTTTTTATCATTGGTTTGTTGTTGTTGTATTGTTTTCTTTTGTTGCTTTATTTTGCTCTGTCTTGTTTTTGTGGATGTTATTATCTCTGCAGGTCTATCTAGATAAGATAGGCTGTATAAACAATCTGAAGGAGAAAACAACGGGACCATGGTTCTGGGGGGACATGGGAGAAGGGGAGGTGAGGGGAAAGGAAGTGGTTTAACAAACCCAGGGACAAGGGAACAACAAGTGATCCAAATAGGTGGTGAGGAGGGTGTAGGAGGCCTGGTAGGGCGTGATCAAGGGTAATGTAACCAAGAGGAATAACTGAAACCCAAATGAAGGCTGAGCATGATAGTGGGACAAGAGGAAAATCAAAGGAAAGAGAGGAAAGAGCTAGGAGGCAAAGGGCATTTATAGAGGTCTAAATAAAGGCATGTAGATATGTAAATATATTTATATATGAGGATGGGGAAAGATATATGTGCATATATGTATAGGTTTAGTTTTAAGGTAGCAGATGGACATTGGGCCTCCACTCAAATACTCCCTCAATGCAAGAATACTCTGTTCTATTAAACTGGCATTCCATGATGCTCACCTTCTGGACATGATTGCTGAAGACAAATGGGTGCATAAGCAAATGTGGTGAAGAAAGCTGATGGTGCCTGGCTATCAAAAGATATAGCATCCAGGGTCTTAAAAGCTTGAAGGTAAACAAGCAGCTATCTAGCTCAGAAGCAACAAAGCCCACATGGAAGAAGCACACCTGCCTGTGTGATCATGAGGTGCCGAAGAGATCAGTTATCAGGCATCAAAGAACAAAAAATCAAATCACTGTGAATGAGGGGGAGTGCAGATTGGGGACCGAAGACCCATCTGTAGGCAACTAGACATCCCCTTACAGGAGGGTGGCCGGGAGGAGACGAGCCAATCAGGGTGCGGTGTAGCACCAATGAAACATACAACTTTCCTCTAGTTCTTTAATGCTTCCTCCACCCCACTATCATGATCCCAATTCTACCTTACAAATCTGGCTAGACCAGCGGATGTACACTGGTACAGATAGGAACTGGAAACACAGGGAATCCAGGACAGATGATCCCTTCAGGACCAGTGGTGAGAGTGGCGATACCGGGAGGGTGGAGGGAAAGTGGTGTGGAAAGGGGGAACCGATTACAAGGACTACATATAACCCCCTTCCTGGGGGACGGACAACAGAAAAGTGGGTATAGGGAGATGTCGGACAGTGTAAGATATGACAAAATAATAATAATTTATAAATTATCATTATGGGGGTGGGGATGGGTGGGGAGGGAGGGGAAAATGAGGAGCTGATACCAAGGCTCAAGTAGAAAGCAAATGTTTGAGAATGATGAGGGCAACAAATGTACAAATGTGTTTGACAGAATGGATGTATGTATGGATTGTGGTCAGAGTTGTACGAACCCCCAATAAAAATTTTTTTTTAAGTAGGGAGGGTGGGTTGAAAGAGTGAAATATCTTATTTTTCTTTGTTCTATTCCCCTTTCATTGTATTGACCTCAACCACTTTAACATTCTACTTTCCTTGTTCCCTTTCCCATCTCTCCAGTGCACCCTCTCTGTTGTCAGGTTTGTTAATGTTATTAGAATTGTTTCTGTGCTACCAGGTGAGCACAAATAACAAAGGCCTCTCTTATGTCTTACTTATAATGACACACTCAGATCTTATCCATCAACAAATATATTCTGAGAGCAACTATGGGCTAGGCAGTGTGTTAAGGAGACCGAGATGAGCAAAACAAAGCAGGAATGCATAGTCCTGGGGACCAGGCAGTTGAAGTTACTGATGCACTTCACCAAGTGGTCTGTGGAAGACAAGTGCTACCAAACCTCAGCAAAGAAGCGAGAGAAGCCAGGACAAGGTCTATAAGATCAGGAAGGATAACTTAAAGCAGCAAAACAGAGTTCCTAATATTAACACATGCAGGGCATCTATTATATACCACCAGCATGAAGCCTGACTATAGGATCTCTAAAATATATTTTTACACAATTAAAATGACTCAAATCATATAATTGTTAGCATGAGAATTCCATACTCAGTAGCCAATCTATATCATTTTATCATGAAACTTTTCCAGTATTAGAATTCACTATCAAAATGTTCTAACACAATTTCCCAAACTCTCCTGATCTTAAGACTCACTTGGGACACTTTTGAAGAATACAAATTCCCAGGCCTCTCTTCCTGAAAGTCTGATTAAACAAATGGTCTATGGGAACCAGGAATCTGCATCTTTCACCAGGGTGTCGTGCAATTCTTATGAAAAGGTACGTTTGGGAAATATTGTAATGGATGGTATATAAATTAAGTCCCATGTAGCTAGTTGTAATTTTTCAAAGATCTTTTGAGCTGATATTAGAAGAAATGATAAAATTAATCAAATAAGAAGACAGCTCCCTATGGAATAAACACTGGAACTTCTCTTGCCTGAGGCGTTTCTACTAAGAACATAGGTGAAAAAAGATTGGTAAAGGGTCTCTAGCAATTACTAGTTATCTAACAGCAAGGCTAGTTACCAATGCTACAAACTGATGATTTGTAGACACATCTGAGCTTCCTTTTAAACACCAAGTGATAAAACACTGAAGTACCTTTTCACTGCTGTGCATTTTTATGAGATCTCATTGGTGATTCACACCAGGCTCTCGTTGATGCTTGTTTTATAGGGGAACCTCCCAAGGCCAAGAACTAGATGGTGGTAGCTGAAGGACCTTGAACTTGTGTTCTCTAATATACCCAATTACAAACATACATGAAATGCGTTATCTCCTGGAAGATAATGCCTTTTTTTGATAGTTATAATATAACAAATGGTAACATTAGTATCTAAAATAGATGAAACTAAATGGTAGTGAACTTAGCCTGGCATCCCGGATTCCTTAAGCAGATTATTCATCATCCAATTAATACTACTAACCGCGATGTCATTTATCTTATAATTATACGTATGAGTGTAACCAGAAGTCTGGAATTCACTGAACATGAACATGCAGATAAGGGCTGCTTTTAAACAAATGCCTTGAACTTTACCTACATACACACATGCTGTTTATTTGATGGTTTATACAAATGGGTATTTATTCAAAATCACCCACATAAAGGACTACTGAAGGACACCTGTGAAATGAAGCTTGAAATAAAATGTTTCATTTAAATAGAAAGTACTGGCCAGAATGCCAAACTCACCCCCTTGGGATGGATTTAACAATGCCAGCATTGTAATTTTTTTCCAGGTTGGCTCCATATGAAATGGCAGTAGCAATTACCGTCTGAAATAAAACAAAAGATTAAAAAAAAAAAGACTCTACTAGTTTAAAATGTTTCTTGTCAAGCCACAAAATGTTGGATTTTCTGAATGACATATTCTACTTACCACAATTACTTCTACAGGAATAGGGATGGGGATTTTGTGTTTAAATCGATCATTTAATTCCTTAACTATCATGCAGGTGATAATGGTGAGTAATCCAGCAATGCAATCAGCAATGTTGGTGCTACCAATATTTTGAAAAATCTCTATCAGGGTCTATAAAACAAAAGATGACAAAATTATATACTTCCTATTGGGAAAAAAAGAAGCCAATTAGTCCTCAGATGAATCTTTCCATCTGAAAAATCATGCCACCCCCATCAAATAGCACCCGAGTTTCATGTAACATCATCAAATGTGTCGACTAATCCAAAGAACACCAAATGCATAAAGTCTCTGCAAAAATGTAGACCGAGTTACAGTGATGGTGATTCAGAGTCGTCAAACCTACGTTTCTAGTTCCTTATTTTTTGCCCGTCTGTAACTTCTACAATTAAGATGAACTTTTAAAAAATGTCATTTTATACTGTTGTTACTTGCAGAAAAGGTTTAAAAGCTTATATTTAAAAGTGGTTTGACAGGTGTTACTAAGTGGCCATGAATGTTGCCATGTTGCCATGGTATTATGAAGAGTAGAGACGGCCATGACAAAAAGTTCCAACCATTTTGGGGGTCACAATGATCCAGTATTTTAGGTAAGTCCCTAAACCTGAATGATAGAGGAAATTATAAAAATTCCTAAGTTACTTCATAGGACAGTCTAATGAATTGGCATATAGGCCAATGTGTCAACTTTTGGAAATTAATTTGGTACTTAGCTAAAACTTGAACTTAGATGGCTTAAATAAACCTTCCTGAGCAGACAAACAAGCCAGCTCAAGGAACTCTATCTTTATTTTGTAAACAGGAGATTTCTGAGAATCAAGGAAATTCTTCAAGGAAATTAGCAAGGGAGAATCCCACAGAAGAACACTAGTATTTGTTATCTTATCGTAAGTCCTTCAAGAGGCATAACTTAAGAAGGTTTTAAGTTACTTAAGTCATCGCTGAGTGGAGATTTGAATAAGTATTTTTATAGATAGACTTTTAAATGTTAAAAGTAATAGAGCGTCTTGTAGCTTATACCATGTATCTTATTTCTAGAGATACTTAAAAGAATTATGATGGAAATCTAGTAACAATTTTTTTTATTTTTATAACAAATTTTACAATAAACCTTAAGCAACCCAGAAGTAGTTTTGCCAGCAAATCACATGCATTCAAGAGGAAGGGAATGACGAGGAAAAGGCTCTTGTGCAATCATAATACATTCCACCACTCTGACTTGTACATTCAAGCGTTTGACTTGTAGAGAAGAATATTTTTCCTTTTATATCCAAAGCCAACACATTCACTCCATGCGCTTTCCAGAATCAGTGAAAACTGCCAGAGATAGACACACTGACAGCACAAGATGAAACAGCTGACAGGGGGTTGAAAAAGGAAAACCCAACCAAAGCAGACACAAAAATTGAGGGCACAGAGCATAGATGTCAACAGCCCCCTCTAGCTGGTGTGTTGAAGACATCATTGCCATTTGGCCCTCCACATCACAGGTTCCCAAACTCACTTGGTCTACCACGGCATTTCCAGGGGGAAAAAGTTACTCATCAGCATTCCGCCCGCAGCAATGAAAATCGATAGCCCATACTCCAGGTTCAAGGGTCAGTACCTGCTTTGACAGCCCCCCTGATGGTTCTGCAGTCCCCCAGGAAGGCGGCATCGCCCGCTCTGGGAAATGCTGCTCTGCAGAAGTTTCTGGCGGTGACCCTCATTACTTTATACTTATTAAACTGCTAATAATATTAAGGTATACTTCTTATCACAATCCATACATCAATTGAATCGGGCATATTTATATATATGTTGCCATCATTCTCTTCTAGACATTTACTTTCTTTTTTTTTCAATCTCAACCGAAGGTTCAAATTTACAAAATAAATGTTTAGAACAATTACACCTTTCACAAAAACATTTTCACCTCACCGAACTGTTCACTACAGGGTTCCCATTTATCCCATTTAATCAATGAAAGCCACTTCGACTTTTGAAGAAAAAGCATGTCCAGTACATTAAAAGTGTAATTAGAGATGCAAAAGCAAGTTTACATACACTGAATAGTTGATATGACATCAAACATATGATTCTATTAGTGACTTTTGGACTATAGTCCTCGAGCGATCCTTGAGGAGCCCTTACAAAATCCTCTCCAATAGAAAATGTAAGCTATGTATAAATAGAACTCACTTACATAAATGGAAATAGATTGGACTCAAAGATATAAACATACGTCTCTAAGAAAGCATCGAGACAAAATTCCAATTCAGTTTACTATAAAAATATTTACTGAAATATGTTCAAAATAATATGGAGTGGTGATACGCATGTAATGATACACTTTTGCATAGTATTTTCAGTAACTTAAATCAGATAAGTAGCTTTTTAGTCATGGATAATTTTATATTACATTTCATACTGTGTCCAGAGTATTTTAGGACCATTTTCTTTATATCTTTTTTTCAATCTTGCCCAGCATTATCTGGGTGAATAGAATCATACTTTTAAAGTTATTCCCGGAATGATTCATTTTTATCGGTTAGCTTTTGAAGCAAAATTACACCCATTCCTAACTTAACAATGCGGTTAGATTCCATGACCAGATTGCTATGTGAAAATTGACATTATGCAGAAATGGAAGGTGAGCACGTCAGATCACAAACTGGAGAACAACTACCTCCTTCCATCACTACCAAACCATTGAAAATCATGGCCCAGCCAGGTTGACACATAACCCTAGCTGTCACAGCCAGCCAGCATGACTGTCACTTCCATCTTGGCATTGTTTACTGATTTCCAATAGGACCGTCTTCCTCTTTAGGGGAAGAAACGCAGCAAGTTAACAAAAATATGGTCAACAATTAGAGAAACGTTCTTTGTCTATAAATAGACTGTTTTAAATGGAGTATAGGATTTACTTGTCCCATACTTATAGGACATTTATATAATGAGGGCATAGATGGTGGCATCCAGAATTTAACTAATTAAAAAAACCTCTAGATGGTGGCATCCAGAATTTAACTAATTCAAAAAATCACTACAAACATCCTGTCATTAAAGTATGATGCTATTGTCCCTTTAGGAAGCTGGATAAGACCCATATATCTCTGGCATTTGAAAATTAAAGCTTTTATTTTCTTTCTTTTACACTATTTATTCTTCCATTAAAAATATTATTTCCAGTTTCAATACACCTTGAGAAAGGAACAGACGAGACAACCCAACGCACAGCCTTGTAACAGAGATATTAAGTTAATTGCATTGCAGGGAAATATGTTTATAACTTGACAATCTTCTCTGGGGAAATCCCCTACTCTTCCTTTGCTGGAGAATTTTCTCACAAATGATGGTGATTTTTAAAGCATAAGCAAAATTCTTTAGGGAATGAGTGGCTCATTCAACACTTAGATCATCATTTTTATTACAAAAGGGTGATTAAAATAACTTCATTCTATTTGGCCATTCTATAAGGAAGTCCTTGCACAATTCTATGCCATATTCTAAATTTAGGTTTCAAGAATAATGTTCAAATGGACACTTCACCAAAGAGGGCATTCAAGTGGCCAAGAAACACATGGAAAAAATGCTCACTCAGGGCAAGATATGACAAAATACCAATTTATAAACTATCAAGGGCTCATGAGGGAGGGGGGAGAGGTGGGGAGGGAAAAATGAGGACCTAATGTCGGGGGTTTAAGTGGAGAGAAAATGTTTTGAGAATGATGTACAAATGCGCTTTACACAATTGATGTGTGTATGGATTGCGATAACAGTTGTATGAGCCCCTAATAAAATGTTTAAAAAAAATAAAAAAGAGAAAAGAAAAAGAAAGTAAATGTCTAGAAAAGAATGATGGCAATATATGTACTAATATGTCTGATATCATTGATGTATGGATTGTAAAAAGAGTTGTAAGAGCCCCAATAAAATGATCTTTTAATAATATAAAAAAAATGCTCACTATCAATAGCCATCAGAGAGATGCAAATTGAAACCACAAAAGCCCAACATCTCACCCCTGCTAGAAGGGCACTGGCACTGAAAGGAAGGAAGGAGGGAGGGAAGGAGGGAGAAGGAAAATATACTAGTGAGGATGTGAGAGATTGAAACCCTTATCCACTGCTGGTGGGACTGTAAAATGGTACAGGCACTAAGGAAAACGATATGGTGGTTCTTCAATAAGTTAGTAAATTAAGCCAGAAATATCTTGTGAGCCAGCAATTTATTTCCAAGGTATATATCCCAGAGAACTAATAAGAGAGACATGCACACTTGTGTTCATTACAGAGCTGTTCACAAGAGCAGACAGATTCAACCTACGTGCCCGTTAATGGAAGAATAAATAAACAAACTGTGGGACATGTATACAATGGACTGCTACATAGCTATAAGGAATAGTGAGGAGTCTTGAAACATTATAATTTGAACGCGTCTGAAGGACATGAAGCTAAGTAAAATTAGTCACAAGAGGGAAAATATTATACGGCAGAAATTTTATAAGAATAAAAGAATTGGTATATATATATACAGAAATCAATGTTTATCGGTGGTTACCAGGAATGGAGTGTGTGTGTGTATGTGTGCGTGTGTGGTGGGGAGGAGGGGGGCAGGGCAGAGGAGGACTAGATAGTAGACATTTGCTATTTTTGGTGATGGGAAAGGTAGCTTGGAATGTGGATGTGGTGTATACAACATGACCAATGTAAATCATGAAAGTAAGACCCAAGAGAAGAGGACAAAGAGGTAAAGACATATCATACATCATATTGCAACAATACCAATAACCAAAGAACATGTTTGTAGGTACATATGCATATGTGTAAAAGTATATATATGTGTGTGTGTGTGCATATACACATGTAAAAACCCTAAACAAAGTGCACTGCCATTGAGTTAACTCAAATTCCAAAACCTTACATAGTTCCTCTACATCTTTATGGAAACAGACAGCTTTGTCTTTCTCCTATGGAGAGGCTGGTAGGTTTGAACTGCTTATCTTGCAGTTAGCAGCACAGTGCCTAACATGCAGTGCCACCAGGGCTCATTATATCCATGTATAACTGAGAGACAAACTCACTGTCATCAAGTCCATTCCAGCTCATAGTGACCCTGTGGGGCGGGGTTGAATGGCTCCCTGTGGGTTTCTGAGGCTGCAGACCTTTACAGGAGTAGAAAGCTTCATCTTTCTCCTTTGGAGTGGTGGTGGTGGTGGTGGTGGGGGAAGTAGTTGAACTACTGATTTGCAGTTAGCAGCCCAACACATAACCTACTATACCCCTTGGGCTCTTGTATGCACATATAGAACTCCATAAATGAACATATGTATAAACATAAGTGTGTGAATGTGTATTAGGGGGCTTCAAAAAGTTAATGGGAAAATGGGATTAAAAGACAATGACATTTCATGAATTTTCTGAAGACACCCCCCAGTATATATTCTCATATATAATAAGCCACATACAGGGAATGGTTAAAAAACAATTCTTAAAAATTTTAAGTCTTTAACAGCTTATGACCAGCATCTCATGAGACAACTCAGTCCTAATAGAACTTATCTAGAAATCCATGGCATAATAGAGTTCAAAAACTTATGTTCTACACCCTAGGTTGGTGAGGTAGCAGCCAGCGTCTTAAAAGCTTGTGACTAGCCTTTTAAGACACAATTGTTGCTCTCTGCTCATTCAGAGCAAAAGAAAAAGAAGCAAGCCAAAGATTCAAAGAAGCAACTCATTTAAAATCTGAATGATAATCTACAGACGACCTCACCTACTAGGAGACCAGAGGAATTGGAAGGTGCCCTGCTACCGCAACCAGCCATTCTAACCCAGGGCTCATTAGGAGGGTCTTCATCAAACAGAAGAAACGTGGCACAGAACTCAGTCTTAAAAAGTCCAGACTTACTGAGCTGGTTGAATGGAAGCAATCTCCAAGACGAACACCCTCAGATAGTCTTTAAACTCTGAACTAGAACTGCCCCCTTTGGTTGCCTTTTAGCTAACTAAGACTGTAATGCACGAGTACTGCACTTCTGAATGCAGGCACCTACATGAAGTCGAATGATCGGCAATTACCTTAAAGCAAAAATGAGAGGTCAAGGGGCAGGGAAACAAGATGACTAGGAATGGAACAGCTAGGAATTTATGAAGATGTTGACACATTGTGAAATATGTAAGCAATATCACGAAATAAAATTGTTTAGATGGGAAACTAGTTTGCTGTGTAAACTCTCACTGAAAGCACAAGAAAGTACTATTTTTAACAGACAACATTTAACTCTAGAATAAGATGAGAAGCTCTAAACTATGGATTTCAGTTAATAATAATGTATCAATAGCTTATTTGATACATCACTTATAACAACAGTACCACACTAATAACAACAGTACCACACTTATAACAACAGTACCACACTAAACACATGGCCAAATGAGCGGATTCCAACTCAGAGCATCCCAATATGAGGTTTCTGAAGCTATAAATCATTACGAGAACAGAAAGCCTCATCTTTCTCCCATTATGCAGTCCATGGTTTTGAACCGCTGACTGTGAGGTTACCAGCCTAATGTTTATCTGATAACACCACCAGGGCTCCTTCCACACTCTAATACAGAGGTTTTCAACCTGTGGGTCACGACCCCTATGGGGGTCGAATGACCCTTCACAGGGTTTGCTGAAGACCATCAGAAAACACATATTTCCAATGGTCTTAGGAACGGAGACACCGCTCCTCCATCCATCTCCAGGCGGATCTGCCCACACACAGATATGCTGATCTGGTGAGAAAGAAGCTATCTCAACCTTCGAACTGACGTTGGCTTTTTTCACATACAGTTACAAAATGTAGCAATGTAGTTTACAGTTGTGATATTAAGACTGTTACCCATGCTACACCACGCTTTGAGACAAAATTTCATTGATCTGTCATTAGAAATAAATATTTCACAATATATAATTACAGATTGTTTTGTGATGAATCACTATGCTTTCATTATGTTCAAGTTGTAACAATGAAAATACATTCTGCATATCAGATATTTACATGACGATTCATAACAGTAGCAAAATTACAGTTATGAAGTAGCAATGAAAATAATTTTATGGTTGGGGGTCACCACAAAATGAGGAACTGTATTAAAGGGTGGCATTAGGATAAGGTGACCAGATTTAAAGCAGGACACGATTGACCGGTGGGGTGGGGGTGTCTTGATTAAAAATGTGGTCTATATGGACCAAATAGACCGTTCCCTAGCTTGTCGTGCATTCTTTAAAAAAATCGGGACTTTTTAAAAACGCCAAAAATCAGGCCTGTCCCGCCAAAAGTGGGACGTCTGGTCACCTTACATTAGGAGGTTGAGAACCACTGCTCTAATAGGTGAAGTGGTATGCAGGGATTAGGGATTATGAGAACTCTATATTTTGTGGGTAATTTTTTCATAAGCCTAAAACTAAAAAATAAAGTGTAGCTATAAAAAAGAAGACTGTCCAACAGGAAATGTGTTTGGTTTGGAAATGTTTTTTGATCTTGTTCTCCTGATCCTTGTCCCTATCAAAAGTGTAGTCATTTGCAGCAAGCCTCTTCATAAGCATAGTTGTAGGGGAGCAGTAAGGTGGCCCCGTTCCCCTGCTCTACAGAGGGCAAGTCATATAGATCCAGGAGCCCCAAGTCCACCACTGGCCAAAGCCTCCTGTACTCTGAGAAAATGTTGGTCTCTCGGCGTTCCCACCAAGTGGAGCAAACCCAGTCAGGGGTGTCTTGGTCTATTAAGAATCAGTGGGTTTGTACAGGAAGTGACAAGTACTTGTACATGGTTGGTTTTTTTTACACACGCTTCCTGAATGGATGAATTGAATGAATGAACACTGGACAGGGAAACCGTGAACGTGAAAGGAAGATGGCTCAGAGAGGGCCGAAATGAGAGAGCCTGTCAGAGTAAGATGGTCGGGGGTCTCACAGAGAAGAGAGGACTTGGTAGGGAGAGCAGTGAACAATGACATAAATTATGGGGATCCAAAAATTCGCCTGTGTTCACATCTTCTAATAGACTGGCTGGGTCTCTGGGAAATGCACAGTTAGCTCCATGAGGTCTGCTCAGTCCTGATCAGAAGAATAATAGAACACTGAATTCTTACTGAGTGCCAGACACGATGTTCTTTTTTAAATCCTCACAACTCTAAGAAGTAGCTACTCTTACTACAATACCCATTTTACAATGGAGGAAAACGGATATAACAATCGTCTAGTACACTCCAGATCACACAGATAGTAGGTGGTAGAATCAGGACTCCATCTCGAGTTTGCTGAAGTTCAAAGTCCATGGCCATAATCCATACTTCCTTCTCAGGACCTGCCCGTAATAGGCCCTGAAGAATATTTGCTGGGTAGATGGGATGACAGCATTGCTATAGATTAAGCAAATTCCTGACAACCTCACGAGTTCTGAGGTATGGATACATTGTTTCAGACTCATACCCAGGTTATTAAAGGATTAAGCTCCATTCCTACTGTTGACATATGATTTCTGTATCGTATCATTCCCCCAAGCTGAGGTGACATCATGTTACTATAATCACCACTTTTCAAGCATCAATAATGCGCTTTATATAGAATGGATATTTAAATCCAGGAGTATTTTCAAATCTAATTAGTGTGACTACTCATCCTGCTTTTGCATCTGCTTTGCATGTTGAGTCATCTGTGAATCTAATGTTCCTTTTCATCTATAATTGCTGACACACTTACTCGCTTGATGAACTCAAACTTAGAAAGGGCTTGAAAGATACATCTCTAACCATTTTATTTTATAAATAAAAAAAGTCTTAAGATGTGATATCATAATTTCAAAGGGACTATTTTGAGTACTTGTTATACCCTAGCCTTTGTATTTAATAATCCAGCAGATTTTGTTATCAATCCCATTTTACAGAGGGGGAAACTGATGGATGGTGATTGGTCAGTAAGTTACAGAGTCAGCTGTTAGGTCCAAGTCCATCCAGCTGCGAACCCTAGCTCTCAGCCATGCTCTGCCCCCGGTATCGGAGTCTCCTCGGTTCACAGAACCACAGAGCAGTCTTGCCTCCATCAGACCACGTTGTTTTTATCACCGTTTGGAGAGCAGTGACTCTCCAGAGGGCGTTTTCCCCGACTGAGAACAACAATTGACAAAACCTGCCGTCTTCTCCAGGTCCAGACCCAAGAGGGAACGGGTCCGTTTCTTTTGGAGACGAACAGTGAGAAGCAGCACTTACGTAGATGATGGAGAGAATTCCATTGTAGTTTTTGGTGGGAACGTTGAGCACGATCTTCAGCTGTGAGACCAGCACTTGGAAGGCGGCCGCCGTTGTGAAGCCGCCAATCAAAGGGTCTGCTAAGTACCGTACAATGAACCCGATCTGCAAACCTCCAAATATCAACTGGGACAGAAACCGAAGGGAACAATGAAATATTTGCTTGGGCGAAGAACGAACTTTCTATCCCTTCCCACCCTTCTACCACTCTCAGAAGTCCTTCTAGCTACGTCCTGAGAAAGGCAAACCCACACGGTGTGCGCACAAGAGTGCCTTTTCCTTCTTCAGGGATTCTCCCACCGGCCCCTTCCCTCGTCCCCAGTTGATTAGTACGTTTCTTTTCTTGCCATTTTTCTGTCTCTGACTCCGATGATACATGATCTGGGGGTCCTGTCAACTATTTTACCCTCTGATATAAAACAAGGAAATCTGGGAAATAATTTTGTGTTCCATTAACTTGCTTTGTTTTTACTTTTAAGTGAATCCATAAACCCACATCCTTTCCAGTTGGTTCTTGCACATAAAAAAACGCATCCGTTTATACTTTACTTGCAAGTCCATTACCTGTATAATTCCAACCAAAAGAGTCAGGGTGCTGGCAAGCAATACCCTCTCCTGATCTCTAGCTGCAGTGTCGATTATGGTGGCGTTGAACGTCGTCTCGTTACTGATGAAGTGCTCATCGGGAGCCATCTGCAGAACGACAGATCCCACCATCAGACTGACCACTGGGAACGGTCCTGGAGCAAAAAGAAAAGACATCCGTCAATCAAGTATGAATCCCAGATGGTCAACAATTGGGAACATGACTTACAAAGTCTGCCTTCTTACTGTTACTCTTTTTAAAAGATACACTTTTCTTTTAACAATGTCTCCACTTGCTGCTGCTTTTTTAATCTAAAATGAAAAGCCCTTGCTGAGTAATTATGGAAGGCTTTATAGTTGGGAGGACTGAGGACGGAGATCCAGTAAGACAGGATATGTAGCAATAACACACACACACACACACACACACACACACACACACCACTGCTATGGTCTTCATCTGGATCACAGGTTCCAGCACTGTTTGGCCTACTGCATCCTTTTCTGAAAAAAAATTGTTCAGTGCCCCCTGGCGAAGCAAAACTTGTGCACCATAGTCCACAATCCAGGATGAAATGCAGGTATCTGCCTTTGTAGCCCCCATCCCGACCTCTGGATCATTCCAACGCACCTATTTTGGGAAACATTGATCTAGCTCAGTGGTTCTCAACCTTCCTAAGGCTGCAACCCTTTCATACAGTTCCTCGTGTTGTGGTGACCCCCCAACTATAAAACTATTTTCATTGCTACTTCATAACTGCAATTTTGCTACTGTTATGAATCGGGTGACCCCTGTAAAAGGGTCATTTGAACCCCAAAGGGGCCCGCAACCCACAGATTGAGATCCACTGATCTAGCCGATCAATTGGTACTAATTGACTCTCCAGAGTGAGGCAGTTCTTTCAGTCAAAAGCTATTCTTATTTCTTCTACAGACAAGGCAGTGTGATAGATACAGGGATTTGGAGGGATACCCAAGGTCAAGGACATGGGTTAAGGAAGTTGTATTTCATTTTCAAGAGGATCGTCCAGGTATGTATGTATAACCAGCAGATGGACGTAGGAGCAAAGTTATCTCTTGCATAAATGTCAAAGTTGCAAAATAGCATAAAGCATTCATTTACTAGACCATTCTAGCAAAACAGAATTAAAATTTTAGGAACCGCAGGAAATAAACCTATTCTGAGCCACGCCAGGAAGGAAAGCCAAGCTTAGCTTCTCAACTATTTTAGCCCGACTGTGTCAGTCTTCCGATTCTCGTGAGGTATAGTCATGAACATATGGACGAATATAGCTTAATAAGTGTTTGGCTAATCTAGTAACACAACAGATTCAAAGACCTCGTGAAGGCTGTTTGCCCTCTTATTTTGCCTTTTGGAAAAGAACACTGTTTTGTTTGTTTTTTTAGGAACACTAGTTTTCATATTCTTTCACTTAAGAAAAAAGATTAAGTATAAAGCTAACTCAAAGTACAGTATTTTGAAAGTTACGAAGAACCATCACAGCATGGAATAGAGTGCTCAGGGAGAACGGTAAAGCCCCCGCTCCCTTGAACACATTGTCAAATGCATGAAATCATGATACACATTCTAGGGCTGAAACACTTGAAACATAGACACACAGAATTGTAGTAAATGCTTATAGTTACCAACTGAGATGTGCCGTGATGTTCCGAAGATAAAATACGTCAGGATGGGGAAAAAAGCAGAGTAGAGACCATATCCAACAGGAACTGCAGCTAGGAGCGCGTATGCCATGCCTGCAACAACCGAAATGATTTGTCACGAACGTGATCGTGTATTTCTACCGCACACAGAAAGCTCTTCGCTGCTATCTTCGACTATGGTTTGACAGCATCCACCCTCTGTGACAGTGGCACGATCTGAAACCCACTAGGCTGCTGTGTCTACATGCAACACCTACTCCGATGAACGGACTCAATTGGTCAGAATTGACCTGCTGATCAGATCAGCGGAGGTGATGGGGAGGGACGAGCCAGGGGAGAGGAAAACCCAGCCAATTGTTTTGGGGTCTTTCTTTTCCAACCCACAGACATGAGCCAGTTTCGTGAGTGGACGGCTTTCTGAGTTCAGAGTTTCTCTGTGACCCAGGGTCACCGTGCTTATTGCGCTCCCCCGCCTCCCTTCTTGTTCCAGGCCAAGGGGGAAAATGACAATTTTATAAAGCACCAGGTAAGGCAACTCTTCCCCCTCCACTAAGCTATCCCAGCAGCCTCTGGGCCAGTAAATGTCAAGCACTAAAGAGAAATTTCAACATTTGGGGGTACATGGAGTTGGAAGGGAGCCCTGGTAGCGCAGTGGTTATTCATTGGGCTGCTAACTGCAAGGTCAGCAGTTCGAAAACACCAGCTGCTCTGTGGGGAAAAGACCAGGTTTTCTACTCCCACAAATCGTTACAGTCTTGGACACACCCAGGGGTCGTCCTACCCTGCCCTACCGGGCTGGTAGGAGTTGGCACAGACTCAAAGGCAGTGAGTGGTGGTGGGGTTGGAAAATGATAGCACATCCTTTTCCTCTGAGCTAAATCCTTCTTAGCTAGCCAGCACATCTTACTCCACAGTCCATGCAACCAAGTGAGAGAAAACCAAGTCTTTGGGCCCTTGAGTCATTAATAAAAGATAAAGTTTATGTTGCCGTTGTTAAGTGCCATCAACTTGGTTCCAACCCAACTGAATCAAACACTGCACTCACAACTGTTCTTATGTTTGAGCCCATGGTTGCAGCCACCGTGTCTGTCCATCTCCTTGAGGGTCTTCTTTTTTGCCTCCCCTCCACTTGACCAAATGCGATGTCCTTCTCCAGGGATTGGTCTCTCTTGACAACATATCCAAACGATGTAAGACTAAATCTCCCTGTCCTGGCCTCTAAGGAGCACTCTCACTGTACGTCCTCCAGGACCGAGCAGTCAGCCTTCCAGCAGTCCACGGAACTTGCCACACTCTTCTCCAGCACCACAATTCAAATGCATCAACTCTTCTTCTGCCTTCTTCATTCAATGTTCAATTTTCACATGCAGATGAGGCGGTGGTAAATACCGTGGCTTGGGTCAGGCCCACCTTAGTCCTCAAAATAACATCCTGGCTTTCCCATACTGTAAAGAGGTCTTGTGCAGCAGATTTACCTAATGCAACTCGTCTTTTGATCTTTTGACTGCTGCCGCCGTGAGCATGGCAGAGTTTAGAATAGTTTGCTTTGGTTGTTGTTTAAGTGTTGAAAGCCCAAATGTTCTGGCCCATAGACAATCAAACATGATTTACCGAATGAAAGTCCCCAAACCGGGAAATAATGAAAGAATGCTTCAAACACTGTAATGATACGAAATTAGAACCCTATGAAGCGTGGAAGTAGACTGACCAGCACGGAGAGAGGGGGAGGCAAAGGGGAAAGGCGAGCAGGACTCCCGACAGTGATGACTATGCACTACTTTTGTAGAAGTACACATGCGCGTTACATGCTAAACACGCAGTCGATATTTAGATAACATGATGGATTCAGAAACCTCAGAAGAATATAAGAAACTCCATGTAGCCACCACCATCCACCTCCCTGGCCAGTCTTCCATTTCACTTCCTCTTTCTCCCCTCCACGCCCTGGATGCACCCACCGTCCATCCTGAGCTTCCCAGATGTGTCTACATATTTTTAAAATATGGGTGTGTATTTACATCTAGTAAGGTATTCATCAAAGTGTGAATGGGTTATCTATATGGGGGATACTTAGGTGATTTTTAATTTGAGAAGGAGGCACTTTGTCATGTTCTTTATATGGATTTTCTACAACGGGCAGTCATTCATTCAACAACTCTTGATTATGCACCTGTCATATGCCAGGCACTGTTGTAGGATTTCGGGTTCCAAGAGTGAAAAGGAAAGTCTATTCTAGAAACCTATAGCGTGCTCATGCAAGTTTTAAGGTGGCACGTACATCAAAGGAAGCACAGACCATTTGTTTCCTGTGCACGCTTCCTTCTCAAAAGTCCATCGACCTAAATCAAGCTCTGCGGTTCTTATACACCTGCAATCTAGGAACTTCACTTCCCCAGGTAATGTTTTATTTGGGGACAATGCTATCTAAATATACTGTGAGCATCTCTACTATAAGAACATTACATACAGAGGTTTTGAAATGCCACCATCTGTAAAGAAATGTAAAGCGTGGTTTCAAGCGTTGGGATCTCGAGTCGAAATACAGAGTGTATAGGATTGTGATGCTAAAAACATTTGAAAACATCTAGAAAGTGCAACTGGAAAAGTGAGCGCAGACCCCCTAGAGTTCTAAGCAACAATTGCACTGAAATGGCAACGATGATCATTGGCTGCTTGTTGAGGAGTTTTTCAGATAACAAAAGTGAAAAGCTACGCCATTGCGCCACTGCCCTTGGCAGCCAAGTGGCTTCTCCACAGCTGGAGCGCGCCATCTCTCAGGAGCTCCTCATCACTGGAAACGGCTTCGCACCCTCTGAAATCTCAAATGGTCCGTCTCCCTCAGGATCACCTACTCCAGACTCCTTACGACAATGTGCCTGGGCAGTGTCCAGTTACCAGGGAACCAGGTCAGCGTGAGTTTACTACTCTGTAGTGGACCGTTTTGAAAAAATGACCTAAACCACAAGGGAGGCATGGGTTTACTCTTTGCTACTCACTAATCTGTAGTGAAGCTTAGCAAGCAAGTACAAGTGAGCCCGCGCTGACCTTGCTTACTGAGCGATCCACCCCGACGGCTGCGCTTTCTCCCTACCATGGGCATCTTTGGGTCCTCTCCTCTGTCTTCACTCAGCCCAGATTCCGTGGACTTTTGTAATACCCTTAAGCCCCTTGCTTCTTCTCTTTCTCTCCCTTCCTTTTCTTGTCTGGCAAAACCCAAAGGGGAACCCCAAACACCCCCCTCCTCACAAGAACTTGTTGAGCAGTTAAGTAAACAAAACTACAGGCATCTGTATTTGCTCTGAACAATTTCACTTAAACTTTGTGCTCCTCGCCCCAGATGGGCCCTTAGCCCTAGCTGATGAGTCCATGACATTTCTTCCGCGGGGGTGGGGTGGGGTGGGGGCTTTCCCTCTCTCTGAGACCACGACGCAGACCTCCCCTAATCCAAACCCACTGCTGCTAGGCCATTCTGACCAACAGTGACCTTAGAGGACAGAGCAGGGCTGCCCCATAGGGTCTCCAAGATTGTAAATATTTGGAGAAGTAGAGCCCTACATCATTCTCCCGAGGAGATATGAACCGCTGACCTTTGGGCTAACAGCCAACTGCTTACCCAGGGCACCCCTGGGCTCCCTCACACACCCTCCTCTTGTCCACGTATACACTCACCTAACCGGACTCCTCTTTTTTTTTTTTTTTAAACATTTTATTAGGGGCTCATACAACTGTTATCCCAATCCATACACACATCAATTGTGTAAAGCGTATTTGTACATCATTTCTCAAAACATTTTCTCTCCATTTAAACCCCCGACATTAGGTCCTCATTTTTCCCCTCCCTCCCCGCTCCCCTCTCCCACATGAGCCCTTGATAGTTTATAAATGGGTATTTTGTCATATCTTGCCCTGTCCGACTTCTCCCTTCACCCACTTTTCGGTTGTCTGTCCCCCAGGGAGGAGGTCACACACAGTTCCATGTAATCAGTTCCCTCTTTCCTACCCATTCTCCCTTTACCCTCCCTGTTTTGCCACTCACACCACTGGTCCTATAGGGCTCATCCATCCTGGATTCCCTGTATTTTCAGTTCCTATCTGTACCAGTGTACCTCCTCTGGTCTAGCCAGTCTTGCAAGATAGAATTCGAGTCATGGTAGTGGGAGCGGGGAGGAAACCTTTAGGAACTAGAGGAAGGTTGTATTTCTCATCATTGTTACATCGCACCCTGACTGGCTCATCTCCTCCCCGAGACCCCTCTGCAAGGGGATCTCCAGTGGCCTACTAACCGGACTCCTCTTAATTGTCATTAAAAAACAAAACAAAACCCAGATTCCCCTAGATACAGCACCCAGAGGAAACTAGACTGAACTTCATCAACAGTCAAAACTTCCGTTCAACAAGGCTTTGAACAAGATGAAAAGACAACCCACTCCTGGGAGGGTTTGTTTGTTTGTTGTGGGGGGACCCAACGGGGGGACTTGAAAAACTCTGTGGGAAGATGCCATTCTCTTTTAATTCCATTTCTCCACAAACTTCTTTTTAAAGCTCCTTTGTCTGTCAGATAAGGGTGGAATATCTAGAACAGATAAAGAATGTTGACCACCCAACAAAAAGATGGACACATCTTCCGCATAGATAGTTCACCAAAGAGGGTGCACGATTGGCCAACGGGCGCATGAAAAGATACTCAACATTGCTTGCCATGATGAAGTTGCACACCAAAGCCAGCAAGAGACATCACTTCACCCCTTCTGGGAGAGCTAACATTGAAAACCACACAAAAAAAACCCCCCAGAAATGTCAAGTTTGGGAGGATGTGAAGAGGCTAGAACCTTCATCTGTGGCTGCTGAAAATGCAAACACTGTCCAGCTGTTGTGGGAAACATTTTGGTGATTCTTCAAAAAGTTAGAAAACAGAAACAGTCACCTTGGAGTCGATCCCAACTCATGGCAAAACCATGTATTTCAGGGGAGAACTAGCTTCCAGAGGGTTTTTGTGACCACATGGGACCCCAAAGATCGCCAGGCCTTTCTTACGAGGCATTTCTGAGTGGGTTCTCGTCCTTCCCCTTTCCATTAGTAGCCTTGAATTCAATCCTGTGTGCCACCTGAGCACCAGCATTGACATTCAACCCAGCAATTCAACTTCCAGGTAGACAAGAGAGCTTCAAAAAGTTGGTAGAAAGATGGAATTGCAAGAAAATGAATTTTTTTTCCTATGAATTTTCTGGAGTCCTCTTGGATATACAACCAAGAGACCTGAAAGCTGAGCTCCAAACAGATATACCCAGATGTATACCCAATTTCATTACAGGATGGTATATCATCGCCAATTGGTGGAAATAAGCTAAACCAACAGGCCCATCAACAGTTGGACAGGGGAAAAAAAAGTGGAATATTACTCAGCCACGAAGAGAAACGGAGCCCGGAAAACTACGCTGAGGCACAAGGCAGCACTTGAGAGCGAGTCCCTCACTTGCCTCAACCTCACCCCAGGCCTTCTTCTGCTTCGTCTCCCTCCTTTCCTGCACTCCACCCACACTAGATTCCCGTCATTCTCCCTCAGGCCTTTGTACACCCTGGTTGTACTCATCAGATAGAAGGTTACCTCCTCCGAAAAACCTTTTTTGACCAGTCAATAGAAAACACTCCCTTCTCGAATTAACCCCTATCAACAGGAGCCCTAGTTGAGTAGTGGTTACGAGATGGGCTGCTAACTCCAAGGTGAGCAGTTTGAAACCACCAGCTGCTCCATGGGAGAAAGATGGGGCTTTCTATTCCTGCCAAGAGTTACAGTCTGGGAAACCCATGGGGGCAGTTCTGCCCTGTCCTATGAGTTGGCATCGTCTCGATGGCAGAGAGTTTGAGTGTTGGGGGTTTGTTTTTTGGCAGCATCATAGTCATCCCACCATAGTGGTATCACTCTCTATAATTTACTACCTGTGGCTTAATTCTTACCACTAGAAATGAACTATACGAAGTCAGCAGCTGTCTATCAATAGAACACTAAATCCTACTCCTGGCTGAATGCCTGCCACATAGAATTGGCCTACAAATATTTATTAATATGAAACAAGCAGGGTAACTCACCTCCTAGATAGTTACCTTGCAAAGTTACCTTGCAAAGTTACCTTGCAAATTTAGAGTGATGATATTGCTGGCAACAATACTTCCGCAGTGTAAAAAACATACATAGCAGATTAGCTAAGACCACAGGATTCTGGTTCAAATCCAGATCACCAGGCCTTTCTCGGGAGCTCTCCAACCTACCAGTTTGTGACCTTGGGCAAGCGTTAATAGATCTCTCATCTACTGAAGAGGGAAAAGAATAATATTTACCTCCTAACAGGGTTGCTGTGAAGATTAAACGAGAACTGGCCAAAGCCCTTAGCACAGTATCTGTTACGTAATGAACAAAAGCAATTAGTGTAAGTACTTGATGAAAACTTGGTAGGCATGAGGCATAAAATGGCATCTTTCCTCTCCAAAGATGATTCATGTAACCTAATCCTTGTCACTATTTATGGGGCTGTTTACCATAGGCCAGGCTCTGTACTGGGCATTGGATAAACACAAATTTCTGATCCTAAGTAGCCACAAGGCGAGGCCACTTACAGCTACTGGAGCCTTGCTGTGCTTGTGGGCAGTCGGCCTGGTTTAGATGGCGACCTGCTCAGCCTCATCTTCCTCTCTGCCCTCTTATTTAGAGATTGGGAATACAGAGGATCAGGGTGAGGCTGGACTCTGAGGCACAGAACCAGGGCTTCAAACTGGTTCATTCCGGCTCAATGCCCTGATGAAAATTTGGGGATCTCTACGAATTACCAGAGGATCTGGTTGACATGTAGATTCAGATTCAAGGTGTACAGGATGGAAAAGTAAGCTCTCACCGCAAAGTTGAACCGGAAGTTATCTAGTTCCAAGCCATGTACAGACACATCCTCCTTCTCTGCGGGAATCTACCTGGCCTAACCTGAGTAATCCTGAGAATTCCATAGTCAAATTTTGGCACGATATTGCTCAATGATTATTACTAACTTCTGAAATGGTCTGTTTTCAGGTTATTTTTCTACACACCTTACTTCCCCATCACTTGGCACACTCAGGTTTTCCCTTCAGGGAAACTCAGATGTGACAACTCAGCCTTCAGGAGCCCATTCCTTCGGCCTCCAGCCTGGGTGAAGTGGACTCACTGGCCATCCTGAAGCAGGCTGAATTGTAATGATCTATGTCCCCAGTGGTCTCTGAGCGCCTTGAGAACAGGTGGCGCCTCTAGCACATGTCAGCACATCTAGTGCCTGGCACATGCTCGCCGCTCCATCACATTGTAATAAACAGAGGGGACTTCTGCTGTCACGGTTTGAGGGCTTCAGCCGGGAGCAAAAACCAAGAGTGCTGAGAGGATGAGAGCAGGGGGAGAATGTCCATCCTGTGATGGACCCAAACTGCCACAGATGGCCAAGATGCTCACGGAAATAGTATGGTCTAAAGCCAGTGGCAAGAGATACATACCCTTGCCAGGGTGGTTGTAAGGAAAGGGAGGGAAAGTACTTACAGCTAAAGTGATACTGAGTTTCTGAGTGAGCTGATTAGAAAAATGTCTTTGAAATGGATAAGGATGATGGTAAAAGTGCAACATGGTGAGTTCGGCCATTCAATTGGACCTTTTTGTTCTCTATATTTCACCACACTATTTTGTTCGACAGAAACAAAACAGAACAAAGCCTTTATACGCGTAGCACAAACAGGAAAAAGCCCAAAGATATTAGTGGAGTATATATATACAATATATAGGAAGGGTGCATTGCATTCTGCTGTAGTCTATATTTCCTACTGCTAAGATTTTTATTCTGAAAAAGAAAACAATAAAAAACCAAAATGAGATCAATTGTAGTGAACTAGCAAATAATAGTCATAGTAATAACCACCAATGTTGGGACATTTTGCTAGACCGTTTTAAAGGGAAGGGATTAAAAAAATAAGATGACAAAAAAGACATTCCTGTGTTGCCCAGGCTGAGACTCCTGTCCTTTCCCTTAGTTTCAAACTGCAAGCGGAGACCCACGTGTGGTCACCGTGAACGGGCCTGGGTGGCGTCGTGGGTTACGGGTTGGGTTGCTAGCCACTGGCAGGGCCTCTGGAGAAAGACTTGGTTTCAGAAACCCACAAGGCAGTTAGTTCTACTCCGTCCCATAAGGTCTCTGGGTCTGAATGGACTCATAGCAGTGAGTCTGGGTTTTCAGTCACCATCAAAAGGATCTGTGGAGGACTTGCTGCTGACTGCAAGTCGGCAGTTCAAACCCAGCAGCCGCTCTGTGGGAGAAAGAGGCGCCTGCTCCCTTAAGCTGCCAGCTCTCTGAAACCCTAGGGAGTAGTTCTACTCGGCTGGAGGGCAATGGGAAGCATTATTTAAAATAAGTACACAGCATAGAAACCATCAGCGTGGATCGTCTTTCAGGAGGGTGTAAAGATGAGTGCACAGTCAAGGTGCATCACTGATTTCTTACTGTAGCTTGTCATCAGTCAGTAAACTGAAAGCTGGGAAGCTGCTGGTGAGGTGATCTGCCTCTGATTGGAACCACGCAGCTGGAGGTTCAGGTTTTCCCAGGAAGGGAATTGTAGGGTCTAGGAGAAAAGAGTTACCTCTCTCTACTAAGGGACTCTGGACGACAGATGAAGGCCTTGAAGGATGAGCAAGCATTTGGTGCAGACGCCTGGTCGTCAGTGAAAGTGAGGAATCACTTGGGAGCCCACTCACCAGCATCTTACCTTGCAATGTAGCCACTAGCCCGGTGCTGACTCCGGAAATGAGGTCACTGAGCAGCCATTCCTTGACTCGGTACTTGGGGAGCCATTCCAAAATGGGCAGGAGCGTCTTCAGGACACGAAGGGTTCTCTTTCTTGAGCAACTGTCAAGAAGCAAGAAGACAGGTTTCCCACCCACCGCAAATCACCAGGTTAATGAGCAGAGCTCTGCCTTTGTAATGATTTAGAAAACAGGAATACACGAATCATACAGGAGAAGTCTCGCCATGCTTGTTGCCAAGAACTGTCCTCATATCTACCCTTTAGTACTGTACTGGAAAACACAGGATTAAGGGTCCCCTCCCCACTTCCACCTGTTTTAATCCTCTGAGAAAATAGTCCTACACAAGAACCCATTTTCTGGTCTGGCCATAGACTGACCACTGTGTTTTCTCAAACTCAAGATTACTTTTCAGATTTCTAATCCAGGCGCCTTCTTCTTACTATTCCTTTTTTAAGAAAAGCAAACACACCTGGTTTATTTTGGCATCACAGACTTTGAAGTCAGTTTTTACAGAAATCTCATTGTGAAGAATGTATGTCTTGTCTTACGGTGTTATTTAGTCTTGTTTAAATCTGGCAGTCTATAGATGGAAGAGATTTAGAAGACATACCAAATTTGGCTCCAAATTCAAATGCACTTTTAAAAAAAAATGATATTTATGAGACCCCTAGAAATTTGAACGAGGACTGTATATCTGAGGATGTTAAATAATGATTCTATCTCCTTTTTAGGTTTGATAGTAGAATTATTCACTTTAAGGGCAGCAGTTCCAAACCCCTAACTGCTTCTCACTAGAAAGGCTTTCTACTCTCAAAAAGAGTTATACTTTGTGCCTGCCCAACAAGGTCACTCTGAGCCGCAAACGACTTGATGGCAGTGATTTGCGTAGCATTGTGGCTTTATTGAAAGTTCAGCCTTAGAGATACATATTGAAATATATACAGAAGAAAGAACACATTAGTTGGGAGTTGCTTCACAATAAGGTGGGGGCCGGGGTGCAAGTCAGTGGGGCTAGATAATAAAACAGAGGAGCGTTGAGTCTGATCACTGGCACAGCATCAGGTGGCCTTTCGTTCTGTTATACAGAGTGGTTGTGAGTCGGAACTGAATCTAAGCACCTAAAAACAACAGTTGTTGAAGCTGGGTGATCCGTTAACAACATGGGGGTAAGAGAATTTCATTATACCACAGTGGGGGTAAGAGAATTTCATTATACCACAATGTCTATTTTTAGGTATGTTTGAAATTCTCTCTAATAAACCCAACTCACTGCCACCACGTGATTCCAACTCATAGCAACTCTCTGGCAGCCGGTAGAACGGCTCCTGTGGTTTCCGGGGCTCTAACTGTTTCTAAGAGCTGAAAGCTTGGTCTTTCTCCTGCCGAGGGGCTGGTGATTTCGAG